ACATATCATTGAATGCTTAATTTTTTCATATCTAGAGAAAATATAACAATAATATCCAAATGTTTAAGTCCTAAAAACAGAATACACCACTTAAAAACAAAATACACCAATGCTATCCCCAAAAAATAATAGAAAATGATATCCAAATAGCATACAACCATGTCTAAGAGTATCTAAAAGCTTGAGTTGCCATATTCAAACACAAAATAACTAGAAAATAACATTTTTGCTACTAACACTTAAAGTCACTGCAATCTTGAAATTTTCATATACAAATGCTTTACATTGCTGCCAGCAATAGCATCATTACTTTAAGATGCATCTGGAAAGGTTGGCACTCCTTGTTCACCCTAAAATGCAAACAAGATACATTTTGGCACAAGCAGGATTAGTTTGACAAAGCACAACTTTGAAACTCATGTAACACTACAGAAGGCAAACAAGAAACAATTTTGAAACTACTGTAACTTTTTGGCATCAAATTCCTATCCCAGAAATCTAATAAGGGATTCAAGGTGTACCATCTCTTGCTATTTCTTTGCCATGTCTTTCTCAATGTGTTCAGAATTGCAACTGAACCCATAAAACAACGCCTATCACAATTTAAGAATTCAGTACTGACTTCTTCAGTTAAACAAGGATCTGGATTACTAGTGGAAACATAATTGATGATTACTAGTGGAAACATAATTGATGAGCTAGCAATTTAGACAATGACTAAACTACTATTATAATCAAACCAAAAAGCAAAACAACGTAGAAATAGAATCTTCACCCACCAAAATTTAGAAGCTTATACTAATCAAAATTTATTTTATTGTGCAATGAAAATTAAAAGACAATAGCAGATAAAGACCTCCACAGTCGGAATTTACAAAAACTATATTCTTTTCCATTAAACACTAAACAAGCACCAAACAAGTGTTAACAGATAAGTCATAGGAATGGTAAGAACCAACCTGGTAAGTTTAAGGGTTCATATTTGCAGTCAACTGCCAAACTAGAGCAGCTAGAGAAGCCACTTGTTCTCTAAGTTTAATCACCTGACCCTTCAACTCAAGAACTTCTTGATTTTGAGCAGCTGTAGAGGCAAATGTATATTGCATCTAATGAGCTAGTTGCTAACCTCTCTGTGTGCATTTCTTTGGCCTTTTTCTATACAAGCAAATAATAGAGCATTAAAGAGATTATAAGGCACAAACTAATCTATCAACATATTAGCCATCTTTATTCAAGTGAATAGCAATATAAAATGTACCATTGTACTTTCTGCTTCTTCATCAATATATTTGCCATCTTTGTTCAAATGAGTAGCCATATAAAAATCTATTTCTCCCACAAGCTCACCACCATTTTTCTCATCCTACATAAGAACAAAATTTCATATACGTAGTCTTTTTATGCTCTTAAGAACATTAAAATTTTGAAATTAGATTTTACCATTTCATCTTGTAGTATAGCAAAGCTCTTACTACCAGTTGTATGTGTAATCTTCTGCATTGCTTGACTCTTTTTGCATTTTTCTTCCTTTTTCTATAAAATTTAAGATTATTATCAACACTTGAGTAATCAAACAAACCATACAATTAAAAGGAAGTTCCATACCTTGCCATCAGCAGATTTCCAGTAGTGTACCAAGTACTGCCAATAATTAGGTAACACATTGCGTGGAACATTTCTAGCATTTTCCTCAGACTTTTCAGGATAATAAAATCTTCCCTTCAACCAGGTTTTATGATCCTTCCACTTCTTACCAACAGCTTTATTCACCCAACTGTTTAGGGTATCTTTGTATGAAAAGTATTGCTACCAAATACAAGTAAAAATAATTTAAAAGTTGCTTCCTCCAGTCTAGTGCCTACCATATATTAAATGATACAAGGAAAATTTTAATTATAAAAAAAATTTACCTTTATAACGGAAATTTAAAGCACTTTTTTACACAGAACAATAGCAAAAAAAATTCAATCAGACTACAAAACAGACATTCCTTTTTCCTTTATAATAAAAATTGAAATTCTAACCATTAAAATCTCACCAATCAGACTACAAAATAGACATTCATTCTCAAGAACAAGCAAAAAATAGCACAATAAAAAATAATCCTTCATTTTCTCAGTAGCCAAAAGACTAGTTAATAAAAGAATCAAAAAGAAGCAAAATAATGCAAGCTAAGCAAAATTACATATTATCACTCAATCTCCTAAACACTTCAATTCGAATTCAACAGAAAAAATAGAAAGAAAAAACTAAAGGTAATTGAAAATAAATTTGAGTTATTGCAAAATTGATAAGAGACCTAAATAATGCAATTCTAAGTTCTCAGAATGATTACCGAAAGAGATAGGGATATCGAAGTTACAGAGGTTGCTGGACAATGTCCACGCCGTCACCGGAGTCCAGTAAAATTACCACAGAGAAACACCAAGCCTAGACTGACTGCCACCAGTCAAAAAAACTGCATTTAATTTAACATGCAATCATAAATGAGAATGAAATCGGAAATGAGAATGAAATCGAGGAGAACCTTCAATTGGAACTTCAGAGAAATTGGAATTGAAATCGGAAATAGCTTGTGGAGGAACTCTTGGAATTGAGGCTGGCTTTTTGGGAAGCCCGTTCCCACCGCGCTCACGGCCTGCCGGCGACTGGTCAAAAACTTGGTCGGATGCGGGATCCCTCGCTTCAGCGACTGGTAGCAGAGACTTTAATAGACTTCAAAAGGAAGTTCAGAAATAGAAATTGGAATTGGAATTAGAAATACAGAAACTCTTGGAAAAAAGGAGAACAACAATTGTTTTCTGGAAGGTTTGGGAAATGCTTTCTCGTTCCCTTCTGTTGGGATAGGCCCAGTCCAATATCCAAACAGGGCCGGGCTATGATAACGGGCCTAGGCTACCACCCGTTAGCCCAAGCTGAAGGAGCATCAGTACAAGCATACCCACGTGACCAGTGCCACGTGGGCCAATAGGATGCTCGCACATGCAGAGATGTGTCAGCACCAAGGGGCTATAAATACCCCCCAACCACCTCCGATGAAGTTAATAAATCTCTACGCTTCTCTCTCTGCAATTACTCCTTGAGAGTATCTCTCTCTAGAATATTGAGTATTGCTGACTTGAGCGTTGGAGTGTTTTCCCCGAGGAAACATCCTCGGGATTTTCAGGTGTAGAAGCAGCTGAAGACTTCAACAGTGTTGGATTGTGTAGCTGCCGAAACATTGGCGCCGTCTGTGGGAAACTTCGAACAAAAAGTTGTGTGACTTAACCTGCTGAAAGACAAAATGGTCCGTACCTTTACAGGAGATCGCCCTCCAAGAAATGAAATGGACGAACAGGAGGACACTCACGTATCTGAGCCCGGCCTAAATGATTTTAGACCAATGCCGAGAAATCTTTTTGTAGGGGGAGCCGAACAGGATCACCTAAGCGAAACAGATGATGATGAAAGAACACCAACGGGGTATGCAGCCCAGCCTGAACAGTTTCAGGTTCCAACAGGGACAAGACGAAGACCTTCTAGACCGCACAATTCACAGCAAGAACGACCTGAAAGGTCAACAGAACCTGCTCGGACAACCGAGCTCGAAGAGAGAACTAGAGTTCTCGAAATGGCAATGGGTAAAATCCTTGCCCGCCTAATTCCTGATGACCCCCTGATTCCTTTGCTGAACAGGGATGCACAACCAGCTGCGGTTGTTGCAACTAGAAACTCCCCCGCTCTAAGCAATATAGTGGTGTCGACCAGGCCTAGGGGAAGTGGGAAGTTGAATATCGAGCCTAGCTCATCCAAATATAGTGAAGAGTTGATGAGAAAAAACGCAGACCTTGAAAGGCAGCTGCGGGATGTGCAAAAATCCATTGACGAGCTGAAAAGCCCCAGGTCGCACCAACAGACCTTGGATTTGGATAGTGCTCCACTGAACCTATCCATCACAGCAAAACCATACCAAGAGGGATTTAAAATTCCCCACCTAGAGACATATGATGGCACGAAAGACCCGGATGAACATCTACACACCTATCAAGCCATCATGAGGATTCAAAACGCCAATGATGCCATGATGTGCAAAGTGTTCCCGGCGACACTGAAATCGACGGCCAGAAGATGGTATCACAAACTTCCCAGACATTCAATAGATTCATTTTCCCAGCTCGCCAAGCTGTTTTCTAACAAATTTGCGAGCCAAAGGGAGATCAAGCGCACAGCAACTGAGCTGATGCAGGTTAACCAGAGGGAAGGGGAGTCTTTGAGGGATTACATGCAGCGGTTCAACAAAGCCACATTGGACATTAACAATGTCCCAGACACAATCTGCCTGTCTGCCCTGTTGCATGGGTTGAAGCGTGGCCGGTTCCTAGACGACCTGCTCGAAAACCCACCGAAGACGTGGAACGAGGTGAATGACAGGTCGGCCAGCTTCATACTGTCAGAGGACTTTCAATCGTCCAAGCGACGAGCTGATGATAAGCCGAGTAGAGGCCACGAAACGAGCTGATGATAAGCCGAGTAGAGGCCACGAACAACAACCGAGAAGAGAAGATAAGAAGAAGCAGAAGGTCGGTGAGCAATGGGGGAAACTAGCTGAGTTCTCGAAATATGCCAGTTACATTCCTTTGACCTTACCTAGGTCTCAAATCCTGGCACAAATTCAGCACTGGGTTAGGAGACCTCCACCCCCACTGCATGATTCCCCGAGGGCAGATAAGAGCAAGCATTGTGACTACCACCGTGTATATGGTCACAGTACAGAGGACTGCCAACACTTGAAAGACGAGTTAGAGTTTTTGGCTCGTAACGGGAAGCTAGAAGGGTATGTCCAGAAGCCTCACACCCAGCAACCCACTCAAACTCATTTTGTACAGGCGTACGACCGACCTCAAGGACAGAGGTACCAGCATGCAGGGACCCAGGATGCATATCAGGATAGCCAGTATCCTTCTGAACAGGGCAGAGCATACCGAGGACGTCCTTTCAACAGGAGAGGGCAGGGACCGAGAACTACCGCCCTGAATCAAAAAGACAGGAAAGGGGTAGGTTATGCTGGGATACCCCCACCTTCCGGTACAATAAACATGATATCGGGTGGTGTTCACTCAGGGGGCCAGAGCGCCCGAGCTCGCAAGGCATATGCCCGACAGGTGATGACCGTCAACAAGAACAGACCCTTGAAACGACAGTTTGAGGAAGCAGAATGGGAAAATACGCCCATCACATTCAACCCGGCGGATTACAAGCGAGCAGAAGGAGAGCCCGACATTATGATGCCCCATGCAGATCCCTTCGTAGCAACGATTCATATAGGCAATCATAATGTCAATAAGGTGTTTATTGACACTGGCAGTTCGCCAGATATCCTGTATTGGGGTTGCTTCCAAAAGATGCAGCTAAACCCGAGCTCGCTGCAGAAGCACGAAGGGCCAATATACGGGTTTGATAACCAGCCCGTCCCTGTTGAGGGAGTTATTACTCTTCCTATATATGTGGGCTCGAAATCGCGCTTCAGGATGGCTTCGGTCACCTTCCTGGTCGTTAAGATGGAATCAGCTTTCAATGCTATACTAGGAAGAGCCACCTTGTGCGAGCTGAAGGCTGTTATCTCACAGCCCCACCTCTGTATGAAGTTCCCAACTCCTCAGGGGGTGGGAGTGCTAAAGGGGAATCAGAAGATGGCCAGGGCATGTTATCAGGATACGTTTAAGAAGGTTGAGCTCGCTGTAGCCCTTGGAGGATCTGAAAGTAGTAGGCCGACTCTGCCCGGCCAGCAGACAATGAGTATATCGGACATTGAGCATAGACCTGAGGGTGTCGAGCAGAAAGCAGAGCCGGTAGAGCCAGTGGAAACCGTCTCTTTAAACCCTGATGTACCGGAAAGAACAGTAAAGATAGGCACCAAACTCACGGAAGAAGAACGAGCAGAGCTTCTGGAGTTTTTGAGAGTCAATCAAGATGTGTTCGCGTGGACTACTGATGAAATGCCTGGCATCCCGGCAGAGTTAACAGTCCACAAACTCAGCACAGATCCTACCAGAAGGCCGGTGGTGCAGAAACGTCGCCTTTTTGGCCCAGAGAAACAAGCCGCCATAGACGAGGAGATACAAAAGCTGTTACAGGCAGGCTTCATTAGAAGAGTGGAGTACTCTGAGTGGGTGTCCAACCCTGTGCTCGTCAAAAAGCCAAATGGCAAGTGGAGGATGTGTATTGACTTCACCAACCTCAATGATGCGTGTCCAAAAGACCCTCATCCCTTGCCAAACGTCGAGAAGTTAGTGGAGCGGGCAGCTGGGCATGAACGGATGAGTTTTCTTGACGCCAGCTCGAGCTATCACCAAGTTCAGTTGCTGTTGGACGACCAGGAGAAAACAGCTTTCTACGCGGGGGACGTTATCTACTGCTATGTCATGATGCCGTTCGGCCTAAAAAATGCTGGAGTAACATACCAGAAGCTGGTGCAAATCATCTTTAAGCTCCAGATCGGCAGGAACATAGAAGTGTATGTAGATGACATGATAGTCACCAGCGTGCGAGCTGAGGATCACATTGGCGACCTGGATGAAACTTTTCAAAACTTGCGCCGAGCACAAATGAAGCTGAATCCCTTGAAATGCACATTTGCCGTAGAGTCGGGAAAATTCCTAGGATACGTAGTATCCAAGAAAGGAATTGAGGTAAATCCAGAAAAGGTTGAGGCCGTTCAACAAATGGAGCCACCAAGAACTGTCAAAGACGTGCAGCGTTTGACGGGCCGTGTTGCTGCGTTGCACAGGTTTATAGCCAGATCGGCAGAAAGATGCCTTCCGTTTTTCAAAGTTCTGCGGGAGCCTAAGAACTTCCAGTGGACTAATGAATGTCAAGAAGCATTTGACGAGCTCAAACGATATTTGGCACCCGCACCCCTGCTGTCCAAGCCTGTCGAGGGAGAATGTTTATATCTTTATCTGGGGGTAACAGAAGAAGCATTGAGTTCAGTACTACTGAGGGAAGAAAACAAACATTAGAAGCCTGTCTGCTACGTGAGCAAGGTGCTACAAGGTGCCGAGCAGAACTACCCACTAGCAGAAAAAGCTGCTTTTGCTTTGATTTGCACGGCTCGTAAGCTGAGAGCTTATTTTCAGTCTCATCAGATTGTTGTTTATACTGATTTCCCATTAAGGAAAATATTGCAGAAGCCAGAACTCTCCGGTCGGCTCATCGGATGGAGTGTCGAACTGAGTGAGTATGACCTTAAATTCCAGCCGCGCACGACCATAAAAGGCCAAACTGTGGCAGACTTTCTAGTTGAATGTGCTCCGGCGGCTATGAAAGAAAAAGCACCTGAGCACCCAGTCTGGGTTTTGTATGTAGATGGAGCTGCTAATGCCGAAGGATCAGGTGCTGGAGCTCTGTTACGGGGCCCTGATGGCTTTAAGTTTGAGCACGCACTGAGGTTTAAGTTTCAGACAACCAATAATGCTGCAGAATATGAAGCCCTCATTTACGGACTGAAGCTGGCGTCCGAGCTGAAGGTACAAAGCATTCAGGTCTTCAGCGACTCTCAGCTTGTTGTCGGCCAGCTGAACGGCAGGTGCGACATCAGGGATCCCCAGCTCAGTCGTTACGCCTCTGTGGTCAAGAGATTGAAGTCAAGATTTGCTTCATTTCAGATCGACAAAATACCACGGGCAGATAACCACCGAGCTGACGAGCTGTCAAAGTTAGCCTCCTCGCAAGATATTAACCCTCAGAGATCAACAATCGTCGAGGTGCTCGACGCACCGAGCTACACTGATTTCACAGTCGATTGTCAGCTACTCAGTACAGATCCCTCTACACCGAGCTGGATTACCCCGCTCATAAATTATCTGCAAAGCGGCAAGCTACCTGAAGATCTGTCCGCCGCGAAATTGATTAAACGCAGGGCGGCACATTTCACTTTGTTAGATAACCAGCTCTACAAGCGAGCAGCCTCAATGCCCCTGTTACGCTACCTTACTCCTTACGAAGCTGAATACGCTGTGAGAGAAGTGCACGAAGGAGTATGTGGCATGCACATCGGTGGCAAAACTTTAGCTCGAAAACTCCTGAGGCATGGTTATTACTGGTCCACTATGGTCGATGACGCGCAGAACTATGTCAAAAAATGTCCGACCTGCCAGTTTAACGCTGATGATATACACATGCCAGGTACCTGGGCCTATTCTAAAGAACGTGCAAACTTCGTGTTTGTCTTTAAACTAAGCATAAATATCTCTCTTGAAACAGGGGAAATGCTATCATCTCTCACGTCCCCCTGGCCTTTTGCTCAATGGGGTGTCGACCTGCTCGGCCCTTTTATCAAAGGCAAAGGAGGCTGTACTTTCCTGGTCGTTGCAGTGGACTACTTTACTAAGTGGATAGAAGCTAAGCCACTGTCCACGACAACAGAAAGAAAAATAGAAGAATTCTTGTTCAATTCAATATTGTGCAGGTATTCTTTAGTGACCGACGTCATAAAATATATGCAAACGTGATTTGTAGCTCAGCTCGCTAATCTGTGTGCAGGTTTGGCATACCTAAGCGGATTATCGCCGACAATGGGCCACAGTTCCGAGCAGCAGCACTGAAATCGTTTTGTAACGACTATGGCATTGAGCTCATTTTGACATCTGTGTACACCCCACAGTCTAATGGGCAAGCCGAGTCCGCCAATAAAATCGTCTTGCGAGGCCTCAAGACACGAGTGTTGGCTGCACATTCTAATTGGGTTGACGAGCTCAATAAAGTGCTCTGGTCTTGTCGCACAACACCCAGCTCGACGACAGGCGAAACCCCTTTCAGCCTGGCCTATGGAGCCGAAGCCATCATCCCTGTGGAGGTCGGATTGCCATCCGATAGATCAGATCGCCACGACGATCAGAATAATGAACAACTCTTAAGAGAGAACTTAGACTTCGTGGAAGAAATCAGGGAGATGTCCCGAATAAGGAACATGGCACATCAAAGTCGCATTGCAAAATTTTACAATAAAAGGGTTCGAGCTCGCCAGTTTCAAGTTGGCGATCTGGTTCTACGCAAGGCTGGGTTAACTAACACTCATTCGCACATGGGCAAGCTCGCTCCTAATTGGGAAGGCCCCTATATGGTGGTTCGGGTTAAGCGACCTGGCTCTTACGTGTTAGCAGATATACACGGACATCAGTTGCCTTACCTTTGGAATGTACAGAATCTTAGGAAGTTTTACAGTTAACATGTGTTATGTTATTTCGCTTAAGATGCTATCCAACAGTTGTAAACAAAGATATACAGAAAATGCAACAGAGGTTTAAAAGGAAATTCATCTTTGTATTTCATCAATGATGTTACATTAGAAGTACATACGACCAGAATCTGGTTGATCAAATACAAAAATGCCAAAGCAAAAATACAAAAAGTGAAACAAAAAGTCCTAAGCCTAGTCATCTGTCAGATCGACGGGCATGGATGCATCAGCAACAGCCGCAGGAGAGCGAGATGGAGGAGATCGGACAGCGGGCTCGGAGGCTGGCGCGTTGATGGGCGAGCTGGATGGCGCAGCAGCGGGCTGAGAGTTGGGTGGGGTGCTTGAAGGCTCCTGTTCAGCTACAGGAGCACCCTCTACCCATGCATCAAATGAGGGCAGTCCTACTGGGTCCTCCCCGTCCTCCAGAATGGACGGTGGCCAGACGGGCACGTCCTCCTCGTTCAAATCCCATCTCAGCCTCACAGTTGCATCAGCGAGGGGAGCAAGGCTCTTACCCTGCTCGTCTAGCTCCTCCTCGTCAAAGAAGACCAGCTCACGTATTGGAAAATCTGGGCCGTGTTGCAGTACTTTCCCACGAATCTCGTTGTAGATCTCCGTGGTTACATTAGCTGACGCCACCGCCACGGCGTCCTGAAACGCAGCCGAGCCAACGAACCATTCCGCCCCTTGAGCCCAGGCGATGGCGACAGAACGGGCATGGGAAGCCTTTAGCTCGTTCAGCGCCTCCCCGGTAGCAGCAAGGTTTCGGTCCGCCTCACCAACTTGGTGCCTAAGGGAGCTCAGCTCGTGCTGAGCACGGTCCCTGTCGGCCTCAGCCTTCTTTGCCCTCTCCTCAACCCTGGCGGCCTCATCCCTTGCCGCGTGTATTCCGCTCTCTCTCTCAGCTCGAGCTCGATCCAACTCCTCCCTGAGCTCGTTGTTCTTGTTGGCGAGCTCGTCCGCCCGGCTCTCTGCAGCCGCAGCTCGGTTCGCCATTTCAAAGCCTTGCAGACGATTTACATCATCCACAAGGCTGGCCTTCTCAGCAGCCAGTTGCTTGCACTTGGAACCGAGCTCGCTGTTCTGTGTACGAGCCGCCTGCTCACTCTCGTACATAGCCATAGCATAGCTGAATGCCTGCCAGACAACAACAATCGTAAACACCTAGTAAAGAAAAGTAAAACACTTAAACAAATATGAGAAAATACTTACATCCATAAGTTTTATCATGGCGACCTAGCCGCCATGCTATTGCACAAAAGCTTTGGCCCGCTTATTATCTGAGGGGGGCACAAAGCTGTGCATTGCTTGCACCATGCCAGGCTGGCACTCTGCCCGCACATAGCTGAAGCCCTCAGGATAAGCAATCCTGAGGCCAGACGTCGAGGCCGGCGCAGAGGCAGGCTCCACTGCTGCCCACACAGCCGCTGACGATGCGTTCGGCGAACGCATGGTTACAGGGCGAGCCGCCTGTGCGGGCTGAGTCCCCCCGCTTCTTATGCGCCTAGCAAGGGGGACTTCATCCTCCTCGCTCTCTGTCTCCTCGCGTGCACGTCTGCGCGCACCCGGGGCCACAACCTCAGCTCTGTGATCAGCTCGCGACCTTGACGACGAGCTGGATCCCCTGTGTGACGAGCCGCGTGATTGAGGCGCTGGGGGTGGCCGCTCGTCAAACCGTGTTTGCCGGGGTTGCGCGCTGCTCGCCCCACGGCCTCGGGAGCTCTGGGCACGTTGACGCTGACGTTCCAAAATGCTGCTCATTTCACCTGCACAAACAAATGCATAAGCCTCAGCTCAGCTAGAATTTATGTTATATGATGAAAATTTACCTTCGCTGAACAGGTTTGTCACATCAACAAACCTGAACACGGCGAGCTGCTCCGAGGTAACCAGGGCTTCTAGATCTATAAGACCCTCCCTCTGCGCATACTCAAGCAGTTGGTTCTTCAAATCGACATCCCGGGGCAACAGCTGGGGGTAGTTAATATGAGCGTTGGGCGTGCGCCATTCTAACAGCCGGGCAGCGAGGTCGTTGCTTATCCTTTCTGTTCGCGTGTCGCGAACAAATATGAACTGCCTCTTCCACCTCGCCACTTTATTCCGGACATTCTTGAACAGCTGGCTTTTGTCTCTCCCGGAGAGGTAGTACCACCTCGCGCCTTGGGAGTTGGGACACAGTCGACATTGAAACAGCGACCTGAACACGATCGCCTTGGCCGGCACCTCTAATCGCTCACACAACAGCATAAAGCCAATAATGAACCTTATGCTGTTGGGCGTCAGCTGCGTCAGCGCCAGCTCGTATTCCGCCAGTAGATCAAACACCAATCCAGGCAGGGGAAACCGCAGGCCGGCGTCAAAGTAGTCCGCATATACTGGGATCCAGCTCGTTTGTGATACTGTGCACGCCCTTTCGTTCTGCCCGCCAGTCCGCAGCAATATGGTCCGTGGGATATGGTACGCCCTCACCATCTCCTCGAGTCTCTTGTACCCACTTATGGAGGGCGTACAATCTGCTACTTCGTGATGAAGTGCAGCCACGAACCTGAATCCAACGGGCAGATCCTTCGATGCTTTCCGTAGGTTACTCAACCTGCCCGGGATCGTCACGCTTTCCCATCCCCCAACCACCGGCCGATCTGAGACACTGCTTACCAGATCCCCCACCCCTTCTTCCTGGATGGGTGTCTCTTCAGTAGACGAGCTGCTAGACGACGCAGTAGGCTGGTCGCCACCAGCATCCCCGGCGCTCGAACTGGCGTTTCCCTCAGGCGCCATTGTTTCCGGAGAGTCCTGCAACTCAGGCAGCACTATCATCGTGATAGGCTCCACTGACAAAACCCCTCCCTCTTCTCCCTCTCTGCCCTGGTTACCTCGTTGCTCTGTGAGTTCTCGCAATGAAACCATTTTTACCTGAAATTGGTGCGAAGTCGATTCGGTGTGCTGTTCTTCAAGCAGGAGCGTTTTGCTTCAGAAAATTTTAGAAAATTGAGCAAACACAGAAATGAAAATGAAAAGGGAAACGGTTACGTAGAGAAGGATATGGCAGTGTTAATTGCCGTACGCGTGTTTCTGACGCGCCAACTAGCGTCCCACATGTGGTGCACGCTTAACGTCCCTTCTGCATAACGTGCGCCGGCTTTAGCCGTCACGTCCCTCAAATGCTGAGCCAGCATTTATGATGGGGAAGACAGAGGGATACGGGGAGATCAATCGTATCTCCTCAGAGATTCGCTTGATTCAAAAAATCCCAAGATTCAGATCGTCATTGCTGATGTGTAGCTTGTACTGTCACATCAACTCGCCATTGCGAGCACACTTACCAGATCGTTACAAACATGACATTTGGCCGGATCGGCTCGACCATGACAATTCGCTCTAAAGTGTAAATCTTTTGCTAAAATCCCCCAAGATTCAGCTCGTTACATATCGTGACGACGACCGCGTTTGTCAGGTCGTCACGGGGAATACAGCTCCCGCACTGAATGCGGGGTCACGTTGCCTCTCCTTGTGATCATAGCCAACTGAGCGTCACCTGGTCGCACTTCGTTAATACTCAAAGGTCAGGTCGTCACATGGACGAGCTGATCGGGCGCTACAACTCATGCGAGTTCGTCTGTTGCGAGTCACTTCAGCTCGCCGCCATAACAAACCCACACTAATGTGGCTATGAATACCAACTCGCCCACACGTTTTCAGGCTTGCGAGCTCGCCTCTTCTCATTTTATCTTTCAGCTCGGTCTTCGTCGAGGTCGACCTCAAGCTGTTAAACCCGTTTGGAAGCCCAACAACGTTGGCCCATGCCTACATCCATCCCTGTTCGTCAACCGAACGCTGGGGGGGGAGTAATGTTGGGATAGGCCCAGTCCAATATCCAAACAGGGCCGGGCTATGATAACGGGCCTAGGCTACCACCCGTTAGCCCAAGCTGAAGGAGCATCAGTACAAGCATACCCACGTAACCAGTGCCACGTGGGCCAATAGGATGCTCGCACATGCAGAGATGTGTCAGCACCAAGGGGCTATAAATACCCCCCAACCACCTCCGATGAAGGTAATAAATCTCTACGCTTCTCTCTCTGCAATTACTCCTTGAAAGTATCTCTCTCTAGAATATTGAGTATTGCTGACTTGAGCGTTGGAGTGTTTTCCCCGAAGAAACATCCTCGGGATTTTCAGGTGTAGAAGCAGCTGAAGACTTCAACAGTGTTGGATTGTGTAGCTGCCGAAACACCTTCGTTGCTTTTTTTTCTTTTTAAAAAATTCTAATTTTAGTCTAGTTTTAGATTTCGCGCTGTTTCCAATCCGCCGTTTTTTTAATTAACTCCCTGCATTTGTCGAATAAAACGCAAGAAATTACTTGCGTTTCGTAAAATGCTGTTATAATAAAGCAAGTAAAAACAAAAAAA